TCTTCTACTTTTTGTGAACCTTGCTGCCATAGCCAAACACAGCAGGATCTAGGAAGGAGTTGATGTGTTGGTGCTTGGAGCTATGTGTGGTGGATGTACAAGCATATAGAACAAGCTTCATATCAATGTTATGTAAGTTTATGGTTTTTGATCTAAGGCCTTCTATTCCATCCAAATTCTTTGGTTTTTGTGCTCCTAAAGCAAGTTTTTTATTTTGAAATCCAACAGGTTAATTTAAGTTCTAACTTTCTTCCTGGGTTTTAGGTTTTTTTTTTCTTTTTCTTTTTCAATTATGGAACTCCAAGGATTGTTCAAGAATATAATGTGACAACTACTTGTAGAATTAGAAACTTGGGCAAATTGGTTAGAATCCAACATTAGTCCTCTATGTCCCCAACACACATCTGTGGTATGTTTCACTTGCTATTTTCTATTAAGAAACATCCCAAATCCCAAATTATGAAGATGATGATATTATAGGGAGTTATCAAGCTGTTATAAACCCTTTTGATGAAGTAGAAGAAGTTAATCCTTTCTATGTTAATCCTTTATTCTTTTCAAATTTATATGATTTTGATTACTGATCAATGATTGTGAATTTGTAGAACCATTCAGGGCTTTCACCTCTTCCTCCAGAACTAGTTGCTCTCAACTATGGTTGTGATGCAAATCATGATATCTCTCTTGCTATAGTTACTAGACCCAGTTTTAAGGTTAGTGTATTTATTTAATTCCATCTCCCTGCATGCCACTTCATACTTGTTTTATGAAAGTAAGCAATGATTATGGTTTTTTGATTTACATTGTTCAAATTATCTTAGGAATTGAAGAGGGAAAGGAGGGACATTGGCCATGGCAATTGAGCTTAACCAGCAATAGGAGGTATATCAGGGAGATTGAACTTGTGAAACATGCAGACTTTTACAAGTTTCACTCATCTGTTTCTTTTGGGATATACAACACAGGAAGTGAAACAGGAAAGAAGAGGATTTAGCAAGAGGTAACTTGCAGTTTATGCTATAGTTTGTTGATTACTCATAATATCCACGTAGTGGCTTGTTTATATTTCCTTTTTATGGTCAATTAGCTTTTCATTCGTGCCATGACAATCTAGAACTTGCCTTGTGATTTTTTGTTCTGCAGATTGGCCACCATTTGCCCCAGTTGTTCATAATGATATTGCCAATGATATGCTCATTTATTGACAAAAGTTGATGTTTATTACCCTTCCATCATTCTTAGGTATGCAAGCTTTTTGCATTTTTACTTTTCATTGTGGTTATTTTAGCCTTGCATTTTGTTAGATTATATTTCTTGATTGAATTCATGCAATTGGATACATGATGTTATTTATAATTATTGATCAATGCCTCTATTGATATATGTTATGATTGGTAAATGTATTTTTTTTCCTTCTGCAGGATTGGTTCTGTGCTTTTTCTGGAATGACATAACTGCTACTGCAGCATGCATCGAAGGGGAAAAATGGAAGCATCATACTGGGGAATTGGATCTCGTCTTCCCATCATGGTGACAGTTCGCAACATCTTATAAGAACTAAAGATCAAACATTACTGTTTTGAACAAATACACAATTGTCAAAATATCAAAAACATGTTCATATCTATTTATGCCTTATGGTGAACAAAAGGGAAAAATTCTTGAGAGGAAACAGAGATTTGACCCTAAAGATTTTGCTGATTGCGTTTTCACTGGTTCTTACTAGGATTACCTAATACATGGAATGAGATTATGTATGCATATTTGTTGAGCAGTTGTAAAAATCTTTGTGATCTATCTAAACCTTCTTTTTGGATATCTGATGACACACTTTCTACCTGTGTATTTTAGACTCTTTCTGAGCACTACTTTTCGTGTTTTCTTTGGGTCATTATCCTGCTTTTACAAAAGTCAAAAACTCAAAAAGTATAATTTATTATTTCAAATAAGTAGAGTAATAAAATTTAAAATTTTTTTCACAAAATTATTGGGGGAAAGAATGTGATTATTATCATTATAAGAAGTGTTAAAGTTATTAATTTTTATTTTATAAATAGTGTTTAAAAATATTAATTTATTGATTAATTTTAATTTATTAATTAATAAATATTAATTTTATATTAAT